CATAACAGAGCTCACAAGTTTTGGGGATCAGAAGGGTGACACGTGGCCCTGCACTTAGGCTGGCCCATCACACTTCATTGAGTGAGAGGCACTATCCGTAAAGCACACACCCACACACACACACACATTCTCCTTATGCGAGTGCCTCTGTCATATCTAGTCGGCGTGTGACCGTCACTGTTGTGGTTAGGATCCCACTCGATCCCCTTCTGTCCGCCTGCCAGATTGCTACTGGCGACAACGGACGTTGTGCCATGGGACACATGCTACATATAATATTTTTGGCCTGTTGCACTCTTAGTGAGCTGCTCACATATTATATCGTACCTGTTTGAATAGGTCGTTGAAAGTGAACCCCACACTGCATGTAACAAGGCCGCGTCTGACTTAACTGCATTCTGGACCATACAGATTATGCTACACCGCGGTTAAAAACTATCTAAGCCAATATTACACACGACGGAGGTCTCTTAAGTAAAGTGTCATCTTGGGACCTATCGCATCCTCGACCGATCACTCCTTCCGTTTGGCAAGTTGATGTCCTCTTATCCCAGACTGGAATTCATCGAAACAGCAGAAAATGTTTATCGTATGACGGGTGTAATTGTTCAAGCACATGAGTGAATGAGGGAGAGTTCGACCGTCCTAAACGACTACGTCCACCGCGTGCCCTTCGAAGTGGGCGCAGTACCGGTAACTGACGCGTGAATTATTTTGTAATGAAGCAGGTTTTATCCGTCTCTACCGCATCCTCCCCTCCCTCATCCACTAGACTCTGATGGCAAAACAATTGAAGACTGCCTGAGGTGGGCTTGGACGCACAGCCCGCCTGTTCCCACACAAATGTACTAGGTTTTCACAGAACAAGATTGTAGCTCGCACCTCACGTTCGAGAGTGCCATAGAGGCCAAATTCACAAGGAGCCATTGAGCTTGACTCTCAGTCCTCCAGTCAGTCACCCCACATGCACAAACAGTGCTGACAACGAGGACAGAGTTACCCAGTCGGTTAGCAGCCATCCAAACCATGATAATTCCAGAATGCGTCACACTTACTGTAATGAGCAATACGCTGATGTGCCGCTAGGTGGGGTTCCCCAGAGTTGGCCTCACTGCCTTTCTTCTCTCTTTCATGCACTGGTTGACTATCCGATCCTATCAGTCATCCAGTCGCGATCCAGGTCAATCGATCGCGGGCGACGTCTTCCCAGGTTGTCGGGTTAATTTGCAGGCACTTCAGGGAGGACTTCAGAGTGTCGTTGTATAGAAGAATTTGGCCTTTTTGGCGGCGAGAACCCGTCGCGACGTCTCCGTAGAAGAGTCGTTTGGGTAGTCCTTCGTCGTCCATGCGCACCAGGTGGCCTCTCCAACGCAGCTGCATTTGTCTCAGCATGGCGTAGATTCTGAGGATTCCCGTCCGTTCCAGTACATCAGTGTCAAGGATTCGATCCTGCCAGCTCAGCCTCAGGATGCGACGAAGACAACTAGGATGGGAGTTGTTGAGTCGGTGTGCCTGCTTTGCGTACACTGTTCAAGTCTCCGCTCCGTACAGCAGCGTCGGCAGGATGACGGCCTTGTACATCTTCAGCTTCGTGCTGAGTTGAAGACCATGACTATTCAAAACTGTGCTTTGAAGGCGACCAAAGGCTTGACTGGCTTTTGAAATCCTGCGGGCGATGTCGGCATCGATTTTGGTGCTACGGGAGAGGGTACTGTCCAGGTACGGGAAGTTCGCCACCACTTGCAGTTGGCTTCCGTTCACGCTGATTTGCGGCGACACGTTGGGGGGTGGGACTGTGTTCGGTGGCGGTTGATGAATGATCACCGTCTTCTGCGTGTTGATGATCGGACCGAAGTTCTCGCAGGCGACGGAGAAGAGGTTCATGCTCCGTTGCATCTCCTCTGTCGATGTGGTGTTCAGAACGCAGTCATCGGCGAAGAGAAGTTCGTGAACGGTGGTTGTGGATACGCGCGATTGGAAGTGCATCCGCCGTTGATTCA